AGCATGTCTCATTAAAAGCCACATCCACTGTTTTAACGTGGTGAGATGTATTCCATACTGGGCAGGCATATTCATCAGCAGAGTAGCAAAGCGCAAGGGCAGATGTCTTCACTGTGTCTGGTTGTGATCGCCAGGTTGTGCCAGTCAGCTCTCATAAATAAATAAATAAATAAATAAAAGCATTGAATTAACTTCCGTCTCATTCCTGTCAAGGTTCTATCATTAGGTAAAGTGAAGAGGTTGCCTCCGATAGCTGGAATCTGAGTGGCTTACATGAGGTCAAGCCCAGTGATACATTACAGCAAAATAAAACATAAACAACAAAAAATAACATCACAATAAAATAAATAAGCCAATCAAGTAAAATAAACATAATGGAAAATCAATCCCAGTGGACAGACCAAATGCACAACATAAAATGATAAAACTCTGGATGAGATAGCAATGAAAAAAGTATATTTGTGGGGGAGGAGCTTCAAAGCTTCAAAACCTTGCATGATACATATGTTTGGTGGTTTTTATACATTTTGGTTGGATAATAAAGTAACCTCCTTGTCTTGTAGATTTTATTATGTACTTCAAAATTTTGCTTCCCAATTACTGTTGGAAATTTCTGAGATTTGAAGCACCTAGCCCGTTCAAGATTTCTTTTGTTACCCAGGTGATAACTTTGTTTCCATCAAGGTGATATAAACAAGGCTGAAACCTAATGGACCCTTGATTTATTTTCATATGTTGTGTAAACTGCATAGATAATAACATCTGAACAATTACGGCTTGTTCCAAAGATCTGTTATAGCAGTCACACTGTGCTCTTGTGTCTGGAGCTCTTGTTCAGCCAAAGGAGGGGATCTCAATAACATTTGGCCTAATGGAACAGACTGTGAACAAATATGGCTCATTGTATTGATTGTGACACATGTTTGGCTATTACTTTCTGGTCCATTGGGAGCTGTTTTGATACAAACATTATCTGAAGATGAATTATGTCAGTCCTCTCTTTCTTTGTGCTTTCTCTTCATGATTTATATCTTTCCTCAACCAGCCAGTACTTTTCTTTATTCTAATGTTTCATTATCTTCTGATCCCTCTCTTGTGTCAGTAAGCATTTATTCTGCCTATTTTAAGTATTTAAACATTTCCCTCTTAACTTTAATTTTCCCTTAATACCATTAGAAGGGGGAGAGCCAAATCTCTGAACAAAATTTCAAGAAAGTGCTGAATGAATTTTGCTTCCTCTTTTTGCTCTTTTGAGTTATAATGTGCAATTGGAGAATTTGTGCATCTTGCTATGGGTCAGAATTCCCCTGTATTAGGTTTACTTGTGTACAAAACGAAAAAGAAGAGAAAATATGTGGCTCACAAAGTCAAAAACATCAGTCTACTCCTGTGTTCTTCTTTTCTCTCTCTGTGTGAAGGATCTATAGCCCAGGATTTAGATAACAACACAGTAAGGCTCCTTTTGTCTAGACATGTCAAAACAACAAAATACCCAAACCTTTCAGGATATCCGAAAAGCAACAAGAAGCAAAGCCATGCATCCTCTAGTTTGAATTCAATTAGAGCAGTGATCCCTCACCTTTTTTAAACCAAGGACCACTCTACAACATCAGTACAAAAGGGTTACGAATCAGTTTTTGGTCAACTTTAGATTTGATTATTTGGGGTGCTGATTCAGACAGTTGATTGGTTAGACCACATCAGCTCTAGTTTCTGATACAGAACATATGCCACACAGTAGTTGCCATCTGCTTGCCCACAGAAAACAATATTTAATAAGCCTTGGCTCTATAAAAGGGTTTTGTGAAACCAGTCGTTCTTGTTGCAATGGTGTAGTAACCATATTTTCATGGCCGTAGCCAGAAAAAAATTTCAGGAGGGGTTGAAATTTTTTTGGGGGGGGGGGTTGAAAATTTTGCCGCGGGGTGGGTGGGTTGAAACCTGCCTCCTAGCTCATGCTGAAGCAAAGAGCACAGCAGGGGGCAGAGCAGCCTTCCATAGTCTGCAGCTCCGCCCCTGTCAACCACCTCCACCAAGTCTGGCCTCCTTAATGAGAACATTCAACTCACACACCCCCAACTTGGTTGCTTCACTACATCAGCTATTGTAATGACAGTGTGAATAAATTGTCAATATTTGCCTGAGATAGTGCTTGCAGTTCTGGAGGGACTCTTAATTTTTTGCATCTCATAGACTTAGCATGGGGATTTGGTTAACCAGTTAAAATTCATGAGTAAACCAGGTTTTAAAAAAAATCTGAAACATTTCAAGGGGGGGATTTGAACCCCTAACCCCCCCCCCCCCCCCCCCCCCGCGACAGGCCTGCATATTTTATTCTTGCAGACCATTGGTGCTTCACAGATTACAGGTTGGGAACCACTGAATTAGAGTAAACCCATTGAATCACTTGAGTACACATATTCATTTACCAAGTTACCATTATTTTGAAAGATCTGCACTACCTGGAAATAGCAGGATTTAAGCTTTTGTATCCAGATGAAAAATAATATTCAGTAACAGTATCCAAGCTCTCAGGTGCTAGATTTAGAACTATGGCTCTTTCTGGTAATATTCTAATAGTCAAACCAATTATTAAAATGTGTATTTGTTTATTTATTTATTTATTTATTTATTTATTTATTTATTTATTTATATTTATTTACATGGAGAAGTGGGAAAGAGTATAAAGAATAAGCCAAATGGTCTTGAGAACCCTCCAGGAATAGATACCATAGCCAAATATAAGAGAGCCAAATCACTAGCAGCATTGACATCACGGCAGGTCTCATAATAAAGTACCAGAAAAATCAAAGGAATAAAGAAAGAAAGTCCAGTTATACCTCATTTGAACCCAATTAACGAGTCAGGCACAAAATGGTCTGAATGTTCAGACAACTTGTCACCTAAGTGGTTCATTTCTGCTCTTAGATGAAATGGTTTTCTAACTAAGAAGCAGACCCTTTGAAGATTATTGAAAACCTCACAATATAGGACAATTCAGGTGTTTAAGTATTATAATTTGGGGGCAGCTGTGAGAGAAGAATGTATGGACTTGAGTTGTTAAAATCCTGTAATGCATATTGACAAAGAAAGAGCAAGGAGAGAGGATTGTGTTATTGTTCTTACTCTACCTTGTTCTTGTAGACTATGACTCCCTATGTATTGGAAAAATTGCTGCAGCCAGAACCTGTGGGAAAAATCACCTTTTGTGTCCTGTTCTATTCTCTTTCATTCTTACCCATTTCTAAAAAAGCGAGTCCTCCCAGACTGCTTGCAATCACATTAGCCAATTGCCTCCACCTTCTCCTTAATCTCATTAGACTTTAGAAGGGCATCTGTGTTGCCCATGTTGCTGAGCCCATAATCATCCCTGAGCCTGTTGGGGGTGTGACAGGCATGTTTATCTCAAAACTGTGTATACGTTTTTAGGCAAACAGATGACAGTCTTAACAAAAATACATATTTTACATTTTTATGATGTGGAAAGAAATGTCCTTTAAATGGCACCTGCTGTTATGCTCATTAAATGTTGAACAGCCGTCTGTGATATTTTAAGGCCAGAAATGTTTAAATGTCTTGTCTTCTACCTTTTCACGCTGATAGTTCTCCCAGGAGTCAGTTTTTTAAAAGTTTCACAGTATGTATCTGGCTGTTTTGTTATCCTCTCTTCCCTTTTCCTTCTCTTATTTATTATTTATTTATTTAGCAATTTTGTATACCGGTCTTCTCCCCTCTATCAGGGGACTCTGGCCGGTTTCCAACAATAAAATCACAAAACAATCACTAAAAACATCATATAACATATTCAATTAAAACGTTATAACAGCAAAATGCAATCACATAATAACAATGGCCAGTCGTCATAGTGAATTAATTGTCCATCATTCATCATCATCTATCCGATCACAGAAATATTGATTCACTCGTTGAAAGCCAAACCCCATAGCCAAGTTTTCACCCATTTTCTGAACGACAGAATGGAGGGGGCAGTTCTGATCTCCAGTGGGAGAGAGTTCTTAAAAGTGTAAAGGAAGAGGAAACTGAAATGGTACTACTGGTGAGACCTGTTGTAGGCCAGGGCAAGACAAGACTTGTGAGTCATGACCTACTTGCTGGAGATCTGTGATATAAGATCTTCTTTTAATGGGAAAGTGGAGCAGAACCATCTAGAAAGCGGATGCTTTAATTTTGTGCTATACATATGTGATGCATTTCATCATCTTGAGAAAGTTAGCTTTTGGAATTATAACTTCCAGAATTCTACTTTTTCTGAGAACTCCATCCCTAGTGAGTTCTCATGCCCGCCCCTCACCCCTGCCAAGTATAACCTTATTCCTATATTTGTACAAAAGGTTGCCATAGTGTGCACCTACATTTTAGAATTAATGCAGCTAGAGACCACTTTAACTGCCATGATTCAATGCTATGGAAGCATAGGAGTTGTAGTTTTACAAAGTCTTTAGCTTTCTCTGCCTCATCAAACCTACAAACTCCTCTGATTCCACAGAATTGAGCCATGGTACTCAAACTGCATTAATTCTTCAGTGCAGATGCATTCATAGTCATGTGATCTTTTCTGGGCAAAGATGTGCACATATACAATCTTATTGTTTTGTTTATTAATATATTTATACCCCATCTTTTATCATAGGACTTCTAGAAATGTATAGATAAAACAACAAACAGATTTGTCAATTTTACATTAGATTTCTACTGATAAATAATTTTCATGCCATTGTTTTTTGTGTTCTGAAACTACGATTGCATTCTGTTGAATCTATTGAATCTGTAGCCCTCTCTTTGAGTTTTGAATTTCAAACATTCATCCCATGGGTCTGTATCTTAGGGCAGTTTTATATTCTTCACACACTGCTAAAGAGTAAGAAAAGTAGTGTTAAAAAATGAATTGAGGTAGTTGGTGTGTAGCTTGTGTTTCATTTAGATTTAGTATGATTTGCCCAACTAACACTGTCCCCTTTCCTATCTTTTTTCTTTTATAGGTACTTCAGAAATTAGGTAAAGCTGATGAAACAAAGGATGAACAATTTGAAGAGTATGTTCAAAATTTCAAACGGCAAGAGGTATGTTATTTTTACGTTCTGACTTTAAGCAGTTTAGATGTGTCTACGTATAGTCTTGTAGGACAGCACATGAAATTGCTCTTGAGGTAAATTACATGCTTAGAATATGTGGAGTGAATGTGTGAAGATTTCAATTTCTTTAGCTCTTCAGCTTCATAGGTCATTCCATGGAAAGGGAATAGCACTACGGCTGTGTTTCCTGCCAAGCATTCAGAAAGCCTTTCACCATTCTACTCAGAAATTTGTTTTATAAAAATTAAGGTACAGTATTAATTCTTATAAAAAAGAAAACATCATCTTCTCTGGCAAAAAGTGAGATCATAGTCCAGGGGTCCTCAAACATTTGAGATCCCTCACAGTTCCTCAGACTGTTTGGGGGGGGGGGGGGGTCAGACTACAGTTTGAAAAGAAAATGAATGAAATCCTATGCACACTGCACATATTATTTATGTAGTGCAAAAACATGAAGAACAATACAATATTTAAAATTTGAACCAACATAAACTTACCAGTATTGCAATGAGAAGTGTGGGCCTGCTTTTGGCTGATGAGCCTTAATAGGGCCGCGGTATGAGCCTTAATAGGGGCTTTAGCCCATGCTTGGTCAGACACGTCATGAGATTTCCTCCAGATGCACTCTAGACCCCCTCCTCCAGTGTTTCATCACAGCCAGCTCCTCGGCTGTGAACCAAGGAGTCAGTGTGACTGTACGCAAAGAGAGGGTACATTCGGGAGCGATCATGACGATCGCCTTGGTCAGCTCACTATTATAGCGATCAACCAGGGCGTCGACAGGATCGTCAGTCTCCAGGACAGTAAGATGCCCAAAGGACCTCAGGAGTCCTTCTGGATCCATAAATCTCCTGGGGTGGACCATCTTAATGGGTCCTCCACCCCTACGGAGGTTAGAAGTCATGGCAAATCTTAAACAAATCAGATGATGGTTGGACCCTGACACTGGAAGAATGTTTTGCTCTTTCATTCTGACCGTCCCACTGTCCGCAACAAAAACAAGGTCCAATGTGTGACCCGCCTGATGAGTGGGGTCAGACATTACTTGAGTCAGCCTCATGGTCATCATGGCAACCACGAAATCCTGAGCTGGACCTGTTAACGTGGTCTCAGCATGGATGTTAAAATCTCCCAAAACGATAAGCCAAGCCCGAATTTGAGACCACCTCTGCTAGCTCAGGCAGGGAAACTGCTGGGTTGCGGGGTGGTCTGTACACCAGCAGAATCCCCAGGCTGTCTCAGGCTCCCATCTTCAAGTAGACACACTCAGACCTCGTGGATTGTGGAACGGTGAATCTGATCAGGGCGATGGACTGCCAAAAGATCAACGCAACCCCTCCTCCCCACCCCCTGGACCTAACCTGCTGATGCACCCCGAAACCCAGTGGGCACAGCTGTGTGAGATTTACCCCACCCAGTTCATCCAACCATGTCTCAGTGATGCATGCCAGATCTGCCCTCTCATCCAGGATCAAATCCTGAATGATAGATGTCTTACTGCTGACGGATCTGGCATTCAGAGGCAGGATCTTGAGTTCAGGGGGTCTATCATGGAGACTACCACACTTATCCTTCTCCAAAACCCAAAACCTGCAATGGAGATACAGAGAGGAAAGCACCTCTACAAAGCCTGTCGGTGATAAAGAAACCCAAAGCAAGATGAAACAAAATGCTGTTGAATTCAGTCCTTTTAAACTTTTATTTGAGAAGAAAGTGAAAGAACTAATTGACGTAATAGTGATTATTTCAGAGGGTAGAGAGGAAATTGACGAAAGAGACATTGCTGATTATATTGAAAGACCAAAAAGATACATGGACATTGCTCAGGATGCTGTTTCCAAGAGACTTAAACCACCACAGCAGAAGCTGGAGGAAAGTCAAAATGCTAAAGTCAGACACAGAGTCTTCAAAGATAGGAACAAGGTTCTGCTGTTGAAGCTGAGAACCAACAAGAAGATGGGAATGGTTTGGGAAGGACCCTATGCTGTTGTAAGAAAGTTGTCCAATGTAAATTATATTGTGACCAAGGAGGGTGGAAATAGAAGAGGTAAAAAGGTGTATGTTAATAGACTAAAACCTTACTGTGTGAGAACCGATTTGGTCTTTCCAGGATGATGGTGAGGGATTATCAAGTGTATTTATTGTTGGAATAAGAGAAATTGAATGAAAAAAAGTATAATCCCAGATGTATCTTGTACAGGGCTGCCACCAATTGTACAGGTGCAAACCCAACAATAGACAGGGGATAGGGATTTTATCTTTAAAGATCCCCACCGCTGTCACCAATTGTACAGGACGCACGCACCAGTTGTACAGGTGTGGATGATTATGGAGGGAATTGATCTCAGGCCTCTATTGTTGATAAGAATATGTTATAGAGGTGGCCAATTATTATTTGTAATTTAAGGTAACTGCCACCAACGTGAGGTATCGCCAATGAGATCTGGCTCTACAGACACAGATTAATTGAGATGAGACGGTCTTCAACAAAAGTTAACAAGTTTATTGTGTACAAAGCGTATAGTTGCAGGCTGTTAAATAACTTATAGAACTTGGAATATAACTTGGTTTGTAATACAGTCCACTCTTCTAGATGACACAGCTCGTGGCTAACTTTTACTGAGGTGAAGCACTTTGGTGAACAATGTTTCCTAATATGAATAGCCTTCCAATTTGATCTTTCCTTGATCAAATCTCTGATCTCTAGCCCTTCCTCGACTAGGGATCTTAACAAGCTTYCTTTAGTCTACTTTAACTAAAGAAACTGGTCAGGTTTCTCCCYTCAGCCCTCCTAGACTGAAAAACCTCCAGCTATTCACACACACYTCTCTCCCAGGCTTTTCAAGCCTCCACTCTACACACACTGACTCTCAGACTGCCCCTTTTCCAAAGACGCACATAACTTCTCCTTAGCTCMGCCCACTTTTCACTCTCCTTCTCTAGCCTGCCTTGGTCTCCTTGGCAACGCTTACTGTGGATTCAAACCAGATAACTCTAGTTTTAGCTACTGTTACAAACACAAATATATACTCTAACAGTTAAACATATACATAGTATCAATGACTTCTGCACATATCTGATTATATATGTTTGATAGGGAAAAAAATAGAAAGGCCAATTRGTGAGTTTATTAATACAATATCAGGTTGCTTTAAAAGGAATATACCTGGTAGAACAGATCTAAAGAGTTATAAGATAAGTGCAGGAGGAGAAAAAAAATTAACGTCATCTGTATAAAAAATAAAGATAACGTAGTAGCAGATTTCTTATCAAGAATGCCGGGAGGAGACAACTGAAGGGTAGGTGAGAGTGGTAAACCAACCAAGGGAGGTATGGTATGGTAAGAATGTATTGTTTATAACGTGTGTATATCTTTGAATTGTTATATTATGTATGATTGTTATGTATAGTGTATTTTGAACCGGTAAATATGAAATGTTGATCTATATGCTTGTTTATATATGTGATATAAGCGTTATATATTGCTTTCAATGAGGTTTACTCTCATCTCCAGCAATATTTTAGGGATAGGGGCATAATGTAACGAAATAGCTAATTATAATGTATGTTTTAAATGTGTTTATTGATGTGGGGATATGATAAGTGCAGGCCAGCATATGTGTTGCCTGAGCGAAGGTGTTGCCATAGCGACGGAACCAGCTGTTAGAATGTATTCAAGTTAGAGAAGCCAAAGGGGCGGAGCTAACTGCCACTTGGCAGGGGCAGGCATTTTAAAAGAGTCAGAAACCCCAGTGGAAATCCATAACTTCAGTGGAGATAGCTGAAGGGAGAAAAAGGCAAGTCAGTGCCTTGAATTGTCAGTTAAGAAAAGAAAGATACTTCACAGTGAAATAAGTTTAAAACCAGTCTGGTGGAAGTAAAAGCCATACTCAGAGTTATATTGGAAACTGTTTAACTACAGTTAACTGTAACAACATTTAAAGGAATATAGAATAACCATCAAACGTTGTACACCTATGAATCCTTAAATAAATATTTCCTTGATCAGTTCTTTATAATTAAGACTCATGTCCATTTATTGAGAAGAAGATTAACCTAAGAAGAAGGCAGTGAAGGTATTGGAAGAAAGGATTCTGGTTGGGGTAATGAGTTACTCCTTTAAAAAAAAGTGCCTCAAGTAAAAAAAAATTAAAAGTCAAGCCTCAGCTACATGCACCACCAGTACTTTAGTTTCCTCATTGCCCTGGTGTGTGTGTATATATATGTGTGTGTGTCATTTGTTTGTCGTATTTTACCCCATGCCCTTGAATTAGAAGCTATTTCTGTGAAGAATATATGTTGGTTGCTTTGCACAGCTCCCCACACATGAAATACATTCAGACACAAGTGTCTTCCAAGTAAACAAAAATCAACCAAAGTCCCAAGGGGGTTGGCAAGTGATAATGGTGGCAGGACTGTGACATCTGGATGCTCTGAGCCACAGACTGGCCCATGGGCAGTCACAAACTGGCCCATGGGTGGTGGATATGGATTCAATCATTCTAACCCACATCCATGACTCTACCTTTGGAAGCAATCATACTCTGCCATGAGTGATTGCCTATGAGTCTAACATTCAATCTACTACACTACGTTGGCTCAGAGAAAGCGTAGCTATACAAAATTAAGTCCTGAAACATGGGAACATCCATCTCAATACAATAAAACCAGATTGTGAAATGTAAAAGACTCTGACAATCAAAACAGTATTCACAGGGACTTCCAAAAACATTTCAAAGGGTTCTCTCTCAGGTTGCCATCCCAAGTAGGTTCTAACAACAATGAATATGAGTACCAATCTTACCAGCAATTGTCAGACAGATCCCCTTTCTGTTGAGATGAATGAGGCACAAGCTTATTGACTGTGCTACTCATTCATTGTGCTCTAAATGTAAACAGGAAACTGGGTTCTTAATCAGCCGCATTGATTGCAGTGGAACTTGCTATACCTTGTAGTATGAGAGAAATGTAGTATCAAAGAAATGTTAGTATATTGCAATACTATATTGTTTATTGCATATACTATATTGTTAGTATATATGAGAATAATAACCATAAGAGGAGGAGTTGTGGATGGTAAATTTGTATTCATGTCTTTCTTTCTTCTCTTAATGTTTTATTTTCCTTTAGCAATATTGGATTGGAAGCAGGCCCGTAGCCAGGATTTCGATTCGGGGGGCGGGGGGGGGGGGGGGGCTGAGTCTGAGTGAAAGAAGGTCTACCCTAGCAAACCTTTTGTATCGTTACCCCAATACCCCCATGCATATGGGATATATTGAGCATGGTGATCAGATCATGATATGAATAAACATAACAGTTTAAATAATGTACCAGTAAGGCCTTTTTGCGGACCACCATGAGAATTTCGGGGGGGGGGGGGCGAGGCCCCCCAAGCCCCCCCCCCCGGCTACATGCCTGATTGGAAGTGCAATAAATATATATTAAATTAGTGTAAGGACATAGAACAGGAATTGATAGTGTTAAATAAAAGCTGCAGTGAAGTTAGAAGCAGAAGCTCTTGCATCAAAATCTAAAGCGAAAAGATTTGCAGTGCATAACAATGCATTGTTTTCAAAAAGAAGTTGTAGACAGAATGGGTTTTATCAGGATTATGGCAAAAGAGAGAGGTCATTTAACGCTTCCATGAATATCATTAGTCAAAGAAAATCATCTGGTTCCATCAAAGGAAAAAAAGGGGAAAGCTTATGAAATGTTGTTACTCTACTTGGTGATATGCAGTATACTCTGTGTACTTATGTACCTATTACCATATATACTCTGCATTGCTAAGGTCTTGTTGGGATCACTGGCTGCCTGCCTACTTTCCCCCCTCTCCAACTCAGAGAAAGTCTATCTCACAGTGTCTCCATGGCAGTACTCTGGCAACAGTAGGCAGACAGGCTCTTTTTGAGGCTCTTTCCTTCCTTTCTCCCTTCCCCTCAAACACATGCCACCTTTCTTTCCCAGTGGCATCACAGAGATCAGTTTTACCTTAGTGCAAGATATGTCTATATCTATATGATTGAATTATTATGTAAAATATGGAAATGGAATTCTTCACTCTGGCAGATCCATGTTTGTTCTGCTGTGTTGCATGCATTATATAATTTCCCTTCTGTTTTGTATTTCAGGCAGAAGGTTCCAGGCTCCAAAAAGAACTCAGAGGATATTTAGCTGCAATCAAAGGTAACTCCAAGGAAATTGCAAATGTCATTTTCTTTCTTACTCCTCCTTTTCTTTGTAGCTATTGCTGAAGATTATTAAGGTTTCATTTGTTTTCAGACAGTTATTTTTCCCCAGATAACTAAACACAGAGAATGCATTGGCTATGAGGGCTGACAAGTGGAGAAACAGTGTTCTTATTAAAAAGGAGTTGTTCATAAAGAACACCCAAACATGAAGTGGTGGGATCTAGTCTCTCCCTGTAGGTCAGCTACAGGGGTTTTGTAGCTCAGAGAGGAGAGGTGGGCGGGTGAGAGAACTTGTCCACCTACCTATCCCCTCCCTAACTATGCTTTGAGGGTGCAACTGCAGAACCCTTTGAAAAAAGCCCCTTTAAGAGGAGCTATTTTTCACTGCATAATAGTCACCACAACCCAAAAGGGGTGGGGGAAGTGTGATAGTTATATGGTGAAATGTAATAGTTGTCATAACTCTCTCTGGATTACTTACTAGGATCCTTGCTGGCCATGCTGGTTGCCGCATTCTTGGGACTGCAATCACAGAAGTCTAACTTCTGACCATATGATAAATCAATTTTAAAAACCATGTTTTAACAGATATTCTAATCTGGTTTCATAGAAATGTGTGGCAGAAATGTACAAATTATTTTCAGACTTCGGTTTTCAAGGAATGAAGATTAAAATAGGAGACTATAAAGTTTAAAATATTGCTTGAAGCCTAGTTCGTTGTTCCTTGTCCGAGTCCTGAGACATGCTGGATTCGCAATTGTTGTTAGCCCTCGTTTTTGTTGGTAGAAAGCTGTGGTTGTGCATATAGTTTGTTTTGCCTAGATCACTGGTTGTACCCCTTCTTACAAATTTAAGACTAAGTCATGGTTTTAGAACAAATGTTAATAGTAATGCCTGACAATCCATAATCTTAAGAGAAGTAAAACTTCTAGACATTTTGAACTAATGGGGAAAAGTAGGAGACTGTTTTTTTCCTTCTTCTTGAGAAAAATGGAAATTAGTGATAATTAGAAATATATAACTGTAAACCCCTCTCCGCCTACAGATGCAGGAAATTACAACTACTCTGTCTCTAGTTTAACTTTGTTCCAGCATAATGTCTGTGTCTGTGGGTTGGAGGAAGTTGGCATTTGGCCTAATTCAGCTCCCTCCTTTCTCCTCCCGTTGGCTCTTTTGGCACTGCAGTTGTGTTGGCAGATCCCACTACCAGCAGATGGTGGAAGGAGGCTCAGAAGGGAGCTATACTAGCATAAGAGCAATTCATTAAATCAAAACCTCTATCTTACACACAGCCCCATACTATGTTGTTCCTGAACTGATGAAAGAGTAAATCATTGTCTGAAAAAGCATATCACTCCATCCAAGAGAGGGAATGTGTTGTCTTTGTTCCATAAAGCTTTTAATTTTTCCACTGCAGGGAAAACAGTCAATGGGAAAAATAGGGAAAATATTTTCTCCATTCTTCCCCCAGATCATTATGTTTATATATTTGGTTTTCCAAATATGTCTGTGCTTGTACCAGAGTAATATCTGTGGCAACTGGTTTAATGTAAAACTGCAGTTCATGTAAAAGGGTATAGCAACAGTCCAAAGCCTAAAGAGATGATTAGACAAACAGAACATGTATCAAGCTGTGAGAGGACAATAATCTCAAATGAACAACTAGGAGGGATGTCCCATGGGCTTAGATGCCTGTACGTTAATACACAGAGCATGAGAAATAAACAAGATTAACTGAAACTCTTAGCAAAACAAAACTGTTACAATGTAATAGGCATCACCAAAATCTGGTTGGGTGGGTCCTGTAATTGGAATGTAGCAAAATAGTCAAAATGGAGAGGGGGTGGAGTAGCATTATATGTAAAGGATATTAACACATTTAAAGAAACACAGGACTTCAATCCCCAGGTTAAGAGCATAAGGGAACGAGAACTGAAAAAGATGTAGTTGTGTGGGTCTGTACAGACCTCCAAGCCAGACTAAAGATCTGGATGAAGCCTTCCTTGAACAGATGACCTAACATAGAAAAATATAACAGTAATGGGAGATTTCAACTATTCTGATATTTGTTGGAAAACAAACTGCCAAAAGTACTAAGTCCAACAAATTCCTCACTTGCCTTACAGACAATTTTATAGTCCAGAAGATTGAAGAGGCAAGAAGGGGATCAGGTACTCCTAGTCTTATCCTAGCTAACACCGAGGACCTGGTCAATGGAGTGGAAGTGATGGGATCCTTGGGTGGGAGTGACCATGTTCTCCTGGAGTTTGTGATACAGAAGAAAGGGAAAACTAAGAGAAATCAGATACTAATTTTAGTCTTTAGGAGAGCTGATCAGGAAATGTAGGGAAATACTGAGTGTAATTTCATGGATAGGAATACTAAAAGAGAAGGGAGTTAATGATGGGTGGGAGTTTTAAAAAGTGAGATACTGAAGGCACAATTGCAAATCAGAGAAGTGAAAAGAACCAGAATGGATGTCTAAAGAACTTTCAGCTGAGCTAAGATTTACAAGAGACATGTAGAAGAAATGGAAAAGGGAGGAAATCAACAAAGAGGAATTCAAATGAATAGCCAACATATGCAGGTAAAAGGTCCAAAAGGCTACAGTACAAAATGAAGTCAGGCTTGCCAGACAGATTAAAAACAATAAAAAGGGGGATTTGTTTGTTATGTCAGTAGAAAAAGGAAGGACAAGGAAATGGCAGGGCTTTTGCATGGATAAAATGTTGAAATATTAACAGGAGATAGGGAAAAGGCAGAGCACCTTCAAAGTATGGAGCAGATGTGGCAATAGGGGAAATGCAACCCAAAAATAGGTAAATAAATAGTCAAGGAATACCTGGCTACTCTAAACGAATTCAAGTCTCCAAGGCCAGAAGAAGTCCCAGCAGACTGAAGGAGGGCAAATCTTCAAGAAGGGGAAAAAAAGGAGAACCCAAACAATTACCGTCCAGTTATCCTGTCATCAATACCAAAAAAGATTCTGGAACAGATCACTAAGGAGGAAGTCTGTAATCACTTAGAAAATAATGCTGTTTTAGATTTCTCAAAAATAAGTAATGCCAGACTAATCTTATCTCTTTTTTGATAGACTTACAAGCTTAGTAGATGCAGGAAATGTGGATGTAGCATATCTTGATTTCAGTAAGGCATTTGACAAAGTCCCTTGCGATCTTCTTGCAAACAAACTAGTAGAATGTGAGCTAGACAATGCTACTGTTCAGTGGATTTGTAATTGGTTAAGCAACCAATTACAAGCTCACCAATGGTTCCTCTTCATCCTAGAATGAAGTGACCAGTGGAGTACTGCAGGATTCGGTCATGGGCCCAGTACTGTTTATCGTCTTTATTCATGACTCAGATGAAGGTTTAGAGGTCATCCTTATAAAGTTTGCAAAAAACATCAAATTGAGAGGAATAGCTAATACTCCAGCAGACAAGATCAGAATTCAGATTAGAGAACTGGGCCAACACTCACAAAATGAATTTCAAAAAGGACAAATGTAAGATATTACACCTAGGCAGAAAAAATGAAATGCAGAGATACAGGATGGATGACACCTGGCTTGACAACAGAGCATGTGAAAAGATCTTGGCGTCTTAGTAGACAACAAGTTGAACATGGGCCAACAATGTAATGCAGCAGCTTAAAAAGCCAATGGGATTTTGGGCTGCATCAGAAGGAGCATAGTGTCTGGATCAAGGGAAGTAATGGTACCCATCTATTCGATTTGGGCAGACCTCACCTGGAACAATGTGTCCAGTTCTGGGCGCCACAATTCAAGACAGATATTAACAAGTTGCAAGGCGTCCAGTGAACGGTGACTAAAATGATCAAAAGTCTGGAAGCCATGACGTATGTGGAGCGACTCAAAAAGCTGGCCTGCAGATGGTTGAGAGGAGATGTGGTTGCTATATTTAAATATTTGAAAGGATGCAATAAGGAAGAGGGAGCAGGCTTATTTTCTGCTGCCCTGGTGACTAGGACTCAGGGCAATGGGTTCAAATGACAGGAAAGGAGATTCTATCTGAACATTAGGAAGAACATTCTGACTGTGATAGTGGAACTCTCTACTTTGGAGTGTGGTGTTAACTCCTTTTTTGGAGGATTTTAAACAGAGGCTGGATGGCTATCTGTCAGTGGTACTTTGTGCTTTTCCTGCATGGCAGGAGGCTGGACTGAATGGCGCATATGGTCTCTTTCAATTTTTTGATTCTATAATTGGATAGTCAGCCCATGAGAAACACCACCAATTTCCAGCAACTTGCTATGTGAACGGTGTGTTTGTACCAATAAATGCCAATCCATTTGTTTTTATGGGGAAAATGTAAAATTGTTTGGTTGTTAACGAAGACCAGTTTTTTAAATATATAAATCAAACAATACTTTGGTGAATTCGTGTATTTTTAAATATTCAAAAATGTAACTACTGTGAAACCTTGGGATAAAGGTCCTGTTCAACATCTTTGTTAATGACTTAGATGAAGGGTTAGAAGGCAGGATCATCAAATTTGCAGACGACACCAAATTGGGAGGGATAGCCAATACTCCAGAGGACAGGAGCAGGATTCAAAACGATCTTGACAGATTAGAGAGATGGGCCAAAACTAACAAAATGAAGTTCAACAGTGACAAATGCAAGATACTCCATTTTGGCAGGAAAAACGAATGCAAAGATACAGAATGGGGGACACCTGGCTTGAGAGCAGTACGTGTGAAAAAGATATTGGAGTCCTCGTGGACAACAAGTTAAACATGAGCCAACAATGTGATGTGGCGGCAAAAAAAGCCAATGGGATTTTGGCCTGCATCAATAGGAGCATAGTGTCTAGATCTAGGGAAGTAATGCTACCCCTCTATTCTGCTTTGGTTAGACCACACCTGGAATATTGTGTCCAATTCTGGGCACCACAATTCAAGAGAGATATTGACAAGCTGGAATGTGTCCAGAGGAGAGAGACTAAAATGATAAAAGGTCTGGAGAACAAGCC